GACTGGCACAGCTCTGTGTAGCTCTATGATCTGATCCCATCTTGAACTGATGCCTTTCACTAGAATTGTGTAATGACGATAACATTTTTCGAATTTTCTAAACTTCGCTTACATGTTTTTGAGAGGTGATCTGTGAAAATGTTTGGGTGCTTTCTGGACTCGTTCTCCATATTAAATAATTCTTGGGCAGTTGAATTAGTATTGTTGTCAATATTTTGAAGCAGTAGAGCTCAATCTTGAAGAAAAGCTGAAGCTTTTGTGTAGAACCTGTTAATGGAGCTGAAGTTTGAGTAAACAGAAAAGCCCAGTGTAGGGTGCTATGAAAACTGCTCAGAATAGTGCGTTTCTAGGCTGCTCCAAAAGTGCTGAGGGTTTTTTGAATTCATGTTTCTGCTGCTTGTTTTGATGTAATGATCAGTTATCAGATTTTTTTTTTTATTTTTTTTTTTTTTTCTGGTAGACTGAGCAGATTTTCTTGGAAGAGCTCGTGACAATCCCAGAACAGCAGTGTGTTTACACTGCAAGTGAACGTTATCGTCACACTTGTCCTGTCTGATCTGGCCACTGAGTTGTATTTGGTGGCATTTATGTTTTGAGAACTCTGAGGGACTGATGGCCTGCTTTGTGAGCGCTGTTCCTCTCTTCCCAGCTAGTTGGCCTCTCCTAGTTTGTTTTCCTTTTAGAAGAGTTGTTTCGCCCATTTCTCTGGCAGCTTCCTTTGCTGTTCAGTCAGGGTTGAGTCAATACATGTGTATGGTGTCTGTGATGAAATGCTGATCTGGTTTCTACTGTTGATCAGCAATTCTCGTATATGAACTATTAACACAGCAAATTGTTGGCCGATGGATCCTAGATTATGAAGACTGAAAGAAGATCATCCAGCTTCACAGCAGCTGTGTTGCTTTCCTTGAGCACTTCATGTCCTCCACTGGTTTCCCTTCACCTCCTGGCTAGCCAAAGGATGGAAGAAGATGAGGAGTGGGAGAGCAGAGCCACTGAGGAGCTCAGGGCGTGAGCACTCGTGCAACCTCACGAAATAAACCCACACCGCTTCCTAAGCATCCTTCTGGTGAGGAACCACAGAGGCAGAAAGACACAGCTTAGCTCTGGGTATCGGCAGCACGGCAGACGTGTTCTCACTGACACTAAACCCCTTTTACAGCTCTCTCGCTAATAACTCCTCTTGTGCACGCAGCTGGGTGCAGGTGCCTCTCTAGAGACAAACCGGTGCTCCTCGACACCGGGGTTCCTGCTGGGTTCCTGCTGGCTCCCTGCCGGCAGCTGGAGCGCTGTGACCCAGAGACTCCGTTGGGCGAGTGGTTCAGCGCAGATCTGCCTGGGAGGATGTGGGGGGAGTTAAGCTACGTCAGCTGGGAGCTCCTGCAGCTTCATGGTCAAACCTCAATACTGGGGCTTGTGACTGCGGCTGCAGAAACTGTCCCTGGCTCTGCTGGAGACCCCGCCGGCCCTGGCCGCAGGCTCTGCTGGTTGTGACGGGATTTCTTTGGTGCCCGGAGGTTGGTGGTGGGTGACCCCCCAGGGGCCTTTCTGGCTTTGGCCCTGCTGTCGTGCGGGATGGAGTCCTGAGTGCCCTGCTCGCACATGCTGGGGACTGCAGACACTTTGGGGAGGGGTCTTGCAAGACCTTAGTCTCGTCTCAGATTTCAGAAGGAATTTTTTTTCTATGTTGTCGAATTTCATGAGTTTCTCTTTGCCTTTTCTATCTGATAGCGTATGTGTTTACACACACATATATATGTCAGGTTATGTCTGTATCTATCTGTATAAATGCTTGATTCTTTTATCCCCAAAAAAGCCGATGACTCAGGGCATGAGCCAGCTGTACTGCTCCAACTGCAGTATTGAAATTTTCAGCTTCAACCAGGGGATTAGAGAAGTGGTGACAACCCGTGACTCCATGGCCAAGAGACTCGTGGCTTTATGAGACTGTTATCAGCTTGTAGGTAATGCTGATGTGAAACGCCCTTATGTTTATTTACAGTTCCCACAATTCTGTTTTAGTTTAAAAGGGAAGAGGAAACATGCTGAAGTGTAGTTTATAATCGTGGGTAGAGGGAGGGACAAATTAGTGAGATCTTGTTTAACAAGCACAGAGTTTCAGGAAGGGGGGATGCTGCAGGGAGGTCCTGAGCTTGCCTTTGTGCTGCTGTAAAGCTCTGCGTTTGAGCCAGGATGGCCAGGGAATTTATAAACTGGAGTGAAGCTCAGCTGAGGATACTTTCTTCTGGTTTCTTATAAATTAATCTGTGCTAGTCTGGGTGAGCTCGCTTTAGAATTGGTTATCATCATTGGCTGAAGCTCTTCCACTTCCCCTCCAAGTATCTTAAATGTAATCTGGTACAAGCTTATGGAAGTTTTCAAAAAGCTGTAGGTGTAAATACTGAGTTCTGCCGTGTGGGATTGTCTGATTCAAACAGCTGGGCCTTTGCTCTGCCGAGTGTTGTGGGGATGTGCTTGCAGAGATTAGAATAACTTGTCAGGCAGCTTTCAGGTGTGCCTTGTGTGCTAGGTGTGGAGGAAGAATACTCTGACAAAAGCAGAGACCGTTTTTGAAGTTCCTTTTATGTAAGCGTATAGGTCCACAGCAAGGAAAGGGTGGGGGGCTGCTGGCAAACGTTAATTTTTACTGAATATAAGTTTAATGTAGAAGCTTTAACTGTTGTAGTGTTTGACTTGGCCTGCATTGCTGAGGTGTGATTCACTGCAAGCTCTGGTGCGTATTTTCATCCCTTGGTCCTACAGCAAAATAATATTTTTCTGAAGAGGAAAACTATTTCAAAAATAATAGTTTCACTTGGCTTTTGTGAAGACAAAGCCATCGCTAACCACATCACGCTCTGCGTGTAACAAGCAATAGCTTTGTGTAGTGATCTGATGATGTCTGAGAAATAATACAAAAGGAGGTTCTGGAGTTGCGGGTGTATTTTGGCTGGCTCTGCCTTGAATTGTGGAAAACCACGTTACTGTATTTTTGAAATCGTTATGGATTTGAAAAATGAAACTCGGCTATCCAGACCTTGGTGTGGGTCGTGTTAGGGAGTTTTCTCTGAAGTCAAAGGACCCCTCTGGACTCCTCCCGGCCTGCCATGGTCCGTGCTGCTCTGTCTCTGGAGCAGTGGGCAGCGGTTGCTGAGAGCTGGGGCTGTCCTGGTAGGGGCAGGGCTGCTCTGTGCAGCTCATCAGAGCTTTGTTCTTTTTTTTTTCTTTCTCTTTTTCTTTTGAAGGGCTGGTATTTTTAGCTGGACAGAAATGGGAACTTCTTTAACTTTGGGTGGAGTTTGTGCATGCATACTTTATGATTGGTTATGTGAGTAAACATACAGGTTTGCATTATTAGACATAGTGCTTGCTCGTTCTTTAGATGGTCACATTTTCTTCTGCATATTCCTGCGGTAGAGGCAGTGAAGCACCGTGCTTTCTTTAGCAGGGAGATTTAACTGATTTCCTTGTGACCCCGCAGTAGAGCACGGGCAGGATCAAGCTCCAAAACCCCATCTTCCGTTCCAGCGGGCCATCGCCGGGCTTTGTAATGAAGTGTTCCTGTATCGCAGTTCTTCTCACCGGCTGCGAGCTCTGCCAGAGCAGTGAGAGAGCTTGTACCGTGTGCCTTTGAGGGGAAACAGTAAACTCTGTTTCTGTATGTGATGTTTTCTGAAGGCTGTCTCTTACGCTAGCTGTTGTTGCTCAATGAGAGCAACCTGCTGTTCCCTTCTTCTCTGTAACACCAGGAAACCGATCCCGCAGACGCGTACCTCAGACCTTGAAGAGAAGGTGACCAAAGCCAGCTGCCTGGCAGGGGACAGCGCCCGCGGTCTTGGCCGAGAGGACAAACATGTTGGAAGAGGACAGTCTGTCGGGAGTGGGAGACAGTGTGACCCCGCGACTGGGCTCATTGTGCCCCCCCCAGACTGGAATCGGTGTTCACACTGCCTCTCTTGGGAGTGGAAGGGTTTTGTAGTGAGGTGAAAAGTGACTTGTAGTGTGTTCCTCCATTTGTGTTCACACCACTGCAGAAAGTGTTCGCGTGCCCTTCATCAGATTTTTCCGTGTCAGGGACCTTTTGAGTCGCTCACACCTTGGCACGTGCAGTTCATTGCAGAGCAGGCGTTCTGCTGTGCGGTCATCCTCTCTCCTGTTTCCATTCCTGCCTTGTCACCCCACTGTATCTCCCTGTAATACAAGATGATATTTCCCCCCCCGATTTTACTGAGCACTGTGTATTTTGCCTTTTCTGGTCAGTTTGAAGCCACTGGTTTTTGCTGACGGCAGTGAAGGTGGCTGCCTGCCGTAGCTACGTGCTTTCGTACCGTGGGTTGTCTTTTAGTGAGACTTTATTGAAAAAGGGAAAACTATACTCTGAGATGTTTCTTATCATAACTAAATGAAGCTTTTCCCTGAAAAGCTGCGGACAGGGCAGGCAGCTGTCACGATTTGCCACTCCTTGTTTGGAGCTGGAGCTGCAGTTGTGTACCTGCTGTGATTGGGAGTGTTCACTACAACCGTAATTACACCTGGGTGAACAGAGCTGCTCCACGTCCGTCCTGCGCCGCGTGCTTACTCATAGCCTCTGCTATGTGCGGGATAGCAAGGATGGAGATCTGGGTAAATGAAATATCGATAGTGACACAGGCGATGGGGAGCTGTGGGCTTTGATCCTTCCCGCAGCGCGTGGGCTGGCGGCACGGCGCTGGCTGCGCTCCGAGCTCCGGTCCAGAGTACGTGTGTCAGCTCTGCCGTGGTGCTGGCTCTTTGCTGTTTGCTTCACACTTCGTCGTTCTTCCTGATGGCTCAGGATTTCGGAGTGTGGTGTCACCTGGTAGTGCCCCTTCCTCTCTGAGGGACCGGTGTTCTGCGTTCAGCAGTTGTCACTCCTGCAATGGATAAGCTCCATGTCTTCACTCCACTATAAAACATTTTTTTTCCAATATAACTTGCATTTAAAATGTCACTGACTTTCTTTTTTTCTCCCTCTTTTGTAGACTGACTGCATTGCCATGGAAACCATTGTTGGAAGAGAAGACTTTTCTGCTGGTAACTCCAGAAACTGTGTGGTGCTTTTGGAAGCAAAGCTCAGCTCCAGCCGGCTACTTTCATTTCCACCAGCACGGACATAGACACACATCCTTTTAATTATTTTTTTTTTCATAGACATCAACTCTCTACAGTTGAGTTAATTTGAATTGAGATTTTTTTCATAGCTGTGCTTTGGTGATGGAATTTGGTCTTTCATGTCATATCTCTTTGGGAGGCAGCGTGAATGCTAATAGGAGATCCCGGTATGCCCCTTTCTTCCTCCTGCCTCTCCCATTATTTTTCTTTTTTAATTTATATTCTGAGAAGTCAAAGCTGGTTTCTGATTGTCTGTTTAACATGGGTTTTGCTTCTCCGGTACATTAACAAGTGGTTAGCTTAAAACATGTATTGTTTAGAAATATTTTGGCAGTTCAGGATTTTTTTTTCAGGTGGCTGGGCGGAAGGAGGGAGGGAGAGGTGCACGATAGCTTGAGGGGTGAACTTGTGGGATGGAACTGGTCTGAGAAAGAGAGACCTCTTCTGCCTTTTTTTTTTTTAAGGTTTTGCTTTTATGGTACAAGAGGTATTTCTTGATCATAGGCTAGAGTATTTTAAATCAAATGTCTGTCAGAGCTTAAACCGATTTTTTTTTTTTTTTGCTCAGAATTTTGGTCTGTACAAAGTAGGATTAATGGGCTGGTTGTCTTGTAGATTGTTTTTGTTCTTACCCTCAAGATACTTGTTTATAAATACGAATTGTGTAAAATGAGGTTTTTGTTCACGCATTCAAATGGAGAACTGCAGAGCTGTATCCAGCGTTTGTGACTTCTGCATTATATTTGTCAGCTGTAGCTTTTTAAAGGGAAACCACCCTAATTGATCTTACTTTCAACCAAAGCCCCAGTTTTAATTTGGGACTACTTTTGTTCTCTCTTCCTGGCATAATGGGGAAAAAAGTAAAATGTTGGCTCATCGATTGTCTTCATCCCACTTACAGAAATGTGAACAATGACTATTTGACCTTTTTCAAATAAGCCCTGATTTTTCTACGATTTAAGTGCTTCACTCTTGTACTGAATCTTTTTTTTTTTTTTGGTTGAAATGAATTTAGGTTTTTAACACTGCTATGAACTTAAAGACATGACACTAGTCATTGGTACGTGCGATGTGTAATAAAAGGCACTGACGATTCCGAAAGGGTTTAGAAGTGGTACACAAATCCTCATGCTGAACTGCACCACACAGCTGGTAATCCTCTACATCGTATATTGTACAAGGGATTTGTCAGGCTGCCTCACCTCTAACACACAACCTGGGAATTGCTGGTACAGTTTGTACAACGAATGAGACGCTGTCAGCGTGGATTATTCAGTGATGTGTACCCAGATCTATTTCTGAGTAGTATTAAAATGTACATGTCACTAAAATATGATTTTTTTTTTTTTTTTTTTTTGAAACATGGTACCAATCAGTTTCTGCAGTGTCTAGTGACAGGAAAAACTGTCGCTACAGGGTTTCAAAGCACAGATCTGGTTTTGATTCTGGAAGAGAAGTTTAAGTTGGTACAGTTACTTGTTGCTGCTAAACGTACACTAATTAAAAATACGACCACTCTTACAGACCATGATACTGTCTCGCCATATAGCTTTTGTTTGGTCTCGTAAATTAATAATGCAATATTTAGACAGCTTTTTATAAAGCTTTACATCTTTTCTAAGAAATTAAAATTTGGATGATGCTCGTTCTAAACACTTAATGTGAAAGGAAAAGGTTGTTTTGAAGAAATTTGTAACATACTTATTTCCTATTAGATCCCTGAGGCTGCCATTGTACAATATACAGCACTGATTTAATAAATGCTGAATAAATAAGTAAATGGGTAACCTCAAGTATAGTGGTACAAATACTAATAGGTACGGCATAATAAATATGCAATCTTTTTGAATCTCTTAGTTTACAGCAACTAATTTATTCAGTATTGTGCTGGAAGAACATTTTCAGATGATGTAAAACATATCACTATATATACTACCTTCCAGCTACCCGTTTATGCTGCTGTATAGTACGAGAATACCAATGATAGAACAATGTTTGTCCTGTAAATTTAATTTGATATTGGACAGTTATTGTCTGTACAAACTAAAACATATATGGTTGAAACTGTTCATTATATTTGCTATTTCTGCTTCACAGATCTGTTTTAAAGTTGAGCTGATTGATCTGGCTTTGTCTTCCATTGTAAATATTGTTCTGTTGTTTTCTTTGTAAAACACATCGCGTTTGCGGTTTTGGGAGACTGGCTTGAAGCTCTGTATAGTGTTTATATTTATCTGACTTGGCTTTCCATAGAGCTACTTGCAGTAAATACGTGTTCATGTAGCTCCGTGTCTGGGTTTTATTTTTAAACAAACTTTTGGTTTTTTTTCTGTCAGAAGTGCATTTCCTCCTGCTGTGGCTGCTTGTTTCTCTAAAGTGGTTTTGTCACCCCTGTGTCCCTGCAGATTTGCAGAAGCTTTCAGCATATTTCAGGGGAGGGATTCCCAGCCTGTACAATTGTCTCTGCCACTGAGGGTAAAAGGTAGCATACAGCACAACGCCCAGAAGCGTTCTTGGTTGTAGATTTGTAGTGCTGGTAAACAACTTAGGTTTCTGAATGAAAAAAAAAAACACCCAACAGTGCCTGATCCTTTCTTTTTCTGGTTGAAACGGAGAAGAGTGTGGCCATTTTTTGTTCATAACTTTCTGTGGCTGGAGTATGGTCAAAAAGTATTAGTCCTGGAAGGAATTTTTAGCAGAGTAGTATCAAACAGATTCTTGTCTTTAGTGCAAAAGGGAACAAGTGTGGCTCGCTGATGTAAGTTTTGTAGTAATACTTTGGTTTGATAGGTGTTAAATAAGGTCTTGGTATGTAAAACCAAAACCCATGTAGGTATAATCTCATAATTTCAGGTAATGCACCCCCTTGTAAAAACAACTGCACGTATGTTAGAAAATATAAACACAGCGTAGTGCCTTTTCAGGTTCCTCACTGACGTGAAGGATAGGTCAATAATTCTGTATGGAAAGAGTTTTTATTCCTAGATGTGAACGTATCTGATCTCCATAAATGTGGGTCATTGCTGTGAAATGTCTTGGCTTAGACTCTTCCACCTTTAAAGATACCTGGTGTAATTCTTACCCTGTTACTCAGAGTAGTGCACTGAAACAACTCCTGTGAAAGTCACATTCACTTAAGAATGGGGTTGTCCTCAAATTAAACCACCCCCTTACTCAGGGCCTCATTTTACAGCATGTCGCATGTATTGGGAAGAAAAAGGAAACAGTGCTGCTCCTGCAGTGCAGAAACAGCCCTACCAGCAGTAAACAAACAGCGAAAAATATCCAAACACAGTCAAGGCTGTTGCAACAGTCTCCCAATAACTGCTGTAAGAGGCCTTTGCTGGGATGTCTCCGTGGATCTACAATGGGCTGACTGCTTCAGGGTTGGTTTTTTTTGGGGGGGTGGGGGCATGGAGGACATAGTTTCACACTAATTTTTCAAACCTCTTTGGGTGAATCAGTGACAGAACTCTCTTGCTTCTGAAGCATGCTGAAAGCCCTCAATTAAAACCAGAAGGCAAGTTAGCCTTCCTATCTGGATTTGAAGACAGTCACTAGAATACACATTAAAAGTCTTTGTTTTGAAATCCACTGACAATTTCTAATGGACCTCGCATCTTACTGTAAATAATCAAGTAACTGTGAAGGAAAGGTTCCCAGCAGAGAAGGAGGACCTTTGCAGAGTTAGCAGGTACCAATGCAGTTTGTACTGCGTTTGTTTTTTCATCCCTGCATCCTCTTTTGGCTGTAGTAGTAGCATTGCCTCAAATAGAGAGAAGTTTCTCCCCTCATTTTTTCCATGAAGAGTTGTGAAGCGACATGTCTGGGGGAGAGCAGGAGAACTGAGCTGGCTGTACAGATCTGGGAGGTAAGAACTTCTTCCCCTTCACCCTTCTTTTGTTGAAGAAACACCCCTACCCCAGTTTCTTTGGTTTTCGTCTGAGTTAACTTAAAACTTTTTAGTAGCGTTGTGGTTATAGGAGACTTGACTGTCAGGAGATCTTGTCGGCACAGCAGCCTCAGCCCCTGTCCTGTGCTCCACCCAGGGGCTATAGCGAGTACCTTTACTAAAGACAGCCGATTGCTTTACTAACCAATTACTCTTCACCTCGCTGCCAGCTGAGGCTGCTGCTAGGCAGTGGTCACCTGTCTGCTACAAAGGGGTTGAGTTAATAATCTTTGTTTAAATAGTTCTAGATACTTATCCTCCATTTTAAATGTAGAGCAGTTACTACTCCCCTGAGCTAATCACTGCTCCTGCCTCCCATTAGCAATAGTGTCCTGCTTCTGCTCTCGGGTGCAATTCTCAGCCTGTGTTTCTAGAGGAAGCAGCTGTAGCAGCAGCAGCATTGTGTCTAGCAGCAGTGCTGGGTTGTCTAAAGGAGAACTTTTCTGGAAGGACCTGTTAAAGGCAGGTAGTGCTGCTCACAGCAGTGTAGTCCTACATCTGCCAAAACGCCCTTCCCTCAGCCGTGTCCCCAGGATGGTACTTCTGTAGAGTCCAGGCAGCACACTGACTACAAAAATCAAAGCATATAGAGAATAACTGCAGAAGATAACATTTTAGAACTTGAGCATTTGTTGCTTGGATAATCAATCTATCACTTTTTCAAAATAGGCACTTCTGCCCCCTCTGCTGTCAGAAATCCTCCCTGTAGAGGGGCCTGGCCTTTACAATGCAGGGCAAAACACTGCAGGCTTAAGAGCTTCTACTGCACGAAGCGTGCATGGAGCAGTTCATTGTGTAGAAATGTTGCTGTGCTGCTCTGCGTGCCTGCTTTGGTTACAGGCTGTACTTTGACTTAAGAATTGTTTCAGAAGTTTCAATCCCACCTTATAAATGAATTTGAGGTTGCAGGAAGCTTTTTCCTTTTAGTCAAGGATTGTAACAGGACTTACTAGAGCGAAGGAAGATACTGAAAAGCCTGGTGTTAGCAGAACTTTGTTCTTTAATACTAGAGCAGCGTAAATCCAAGATAGGTGTAAGGTTACTGTTTTTAGGAATTGCAAACTAGTATTCCTTTAGAAAGTTACATTTTTTTCACTCATCAGCCCTGTTGCAATTAACAGATACCATCTGCAGCAAGCTTTCAGGAACTGGGCAGTGAGCAAAGAAAGGTAAGGCACTCGCTCGTGTAGTAAGCTTTTTTTTAAAGGTCATTGCTGCACCCAGGCAGCACTTCCAGGAACTCGGTCATGTTTCTGACCCAGCCTCCTTTCGAAGCTATGTGGTGCCCTCGAGTGGCTAAAGTGTGTGTCCTGTACCCATACGATTTACAATTATCTTCCACGTTCCTGCTCAAGATTAACTAAAATAGACTAACTTTACATGATTAGTTTGGAGACTAAAAGCTTTGGTTAAAAACAAATCAGGCTTCAGGAACCAGAGCATTAGCTGTAGCTGAAGTGGTCTGAGTCTTCAAACATAACCTGGACGTGATCTGGCTATTTTAAGGTTCTAATGTTCAAACCATTTTTTTACTTTTTTAATAATAATAAATCAGCAAACACAAGCTTTTACCTGTAGTTTAATATTTATATACTGATGGATAGCACCTAGAGGTCTCAACCAACATGTGAGCCCCCTCAATGTCTCTGCCCCAAAGAGCTTACAGTCTAAGCAGCCAAGAAGTAGTAGGAGAAAATAACAACCATGCTTGCTTTTATGGACCAGTAACTCCGATCCAACACCGGGCAAGTGATTTACCTGCTCTAAGGCTAGTATGGGTGGTGGAAATGAAACCAACATCTCCTGCCTCTCTGCTGCAGGTCTCATGTAGAAGATGCTTCTTCCTCTCTAGACAATTTTTCTCTTAATAAAAAGCCCATTTGGAAATCTCAGCCTGAAGCTGATTAAGGTTCAGGACTGTTCTCCATCTCGGGGTGAGAGCTGCAGGAACAGAACAGAGAATGGAACTGGCAGAAGCTACTTCACATATTTTCATTTTCTGTGGTCATCTCCCAGGTTTGGTACCCAAAGTGGCCACAGGACCAGCTGTTCTGGGTGCTGTCTACCTTAGAGTGGGATGGTATCTCCTGTCTTTGTTTTAGATGCTGCAAGAGGAGCCCAAATCTTAGAGAGAGCCACTGTTTATGTACTACTTGAACAAACATGTTCTGCCCTTTCCCCAGTCCCCGTATATGAACCCTTCTTGTGGGTGAGCACAAGACTGGGAAAGCCCTTTCCTTTGGGAGCCCCTTGACCTTGGCATCCATTCTTCTGCTTTTCTGGGGGGCTAGGGATAAGCTGCTGTGTTAATTTTAGGCTTCTGAAGAGCCAGGAGTAAGGTAAGGGCTTAAGAAGAGACTTACTGTTTTATTTCAGCTTTGGTAACAAGTTCTTGACTTGGAGGTAGCAGCACGTTCAGTTTATTTCTATATGCACCAGCAAACCAAAATGAAATGAGTTGAAGGATGCACATTGCTGAATTGCCCACTCTCTACCAACATATATAACTGCAGCTAATTGAAAAAAAGAACAAAGCTATTAATATTTTGCATTTTAAACTAAAGAACTTCAGTTTCATACTTCGTTGAAAGCTTTTGAAATCAGCACCAGTTTCATTGTATAAATCACTGCCACCTAGTCAGTCACCAGAGTCCTATGTCTTTTGTCAAACGTGCATAAAACAAGGGGATTGCGGATGCTGCGTGTTTACAATGATAACTGCAAGGTAAGAATGAACAGCCATTAGCAGATAAATTACTTAACAGTAGTCAATAAACAAATACACTTCACCTGTATAAAGCAGTATGTTAATTCACAAGTTAAGTTGTATTGATAGTTGAGGTGGCAATATACAATGAAAATATTAAAGTATCATCGCTTGAAAAATAGTCTTGCTTTGTCAGGGAGCTCTGCTCATACATGAGGGTAAATGAAACAGCACTGACCTTAGGAGCTGAACAGTCATGCATACACAGTGATCACTTTTCAGCTATTGCACAAGTAGTGACACTCTAACACATACACAGTGGGAGTCTTACAAAATGACATCAGGAAGGCTGCATGCACCATCGTTCAAGGCATTATGTGAACTCTACATACACAGGTTGCTGTATATTGTAAGTACATTGTGGATGTGTATAAATTCACATAAGATTAAAAGATTAATTTGTAAATAGAAAAAGATCATTTTCCACCAGCTTATGCTTTACTTTATTCAGAAGATTTCTTAGTGTGTACACTATTTTGGATAAAATGCATGACACCACTTCCGAGTAGAGGGTTCGTGAGTATAACCTTAAATGCTTTGGTAACTGGATATTCCCATGGAACAGGTTTTGTTAAACCAAATTGATTACTAAAACGTGAATGTGACTTTTATTCAGAAAAGAAGGATATAGAATATGGCTAATAATTTCACATATTTTCATATTAAAAAAACCCTTTTCAAGTGGATTGGGATTTCTAAGTACAAATAAAGCCACTGATAGCGTGGTGTACAACACTGAAAAAACCCTGATCAAAATGACTTCAGAATAATTGTGCATTCCCCAAAGTTATCAGGTTGGTAACTGAGGAAGGAAATGAAATACTAAATGAATAAGTTGGTGTAAGAGGGGTAAAGTCTCTCTGTACCACAAGTTTCATAATAAAATACTGCTGTATGTTTTAATTTTAGACATAAGCATTTTTATATCAGAGTCTGGTTTGTTTCTAAATGACTGAAAGTTTCAACTAAAAACGTGTTTACACAATATACACATTTCATTACTTACAAAGAGAAATAAGCTTACAATTTCATATTAAAAACCTGGGATACAGTAGGGTTAGTAGCACCATGAAAAATGTTTTTCAAAACTGCAGTCTTGTTATTTTAAACATACTCAGTGCATCGTGGTTCTCTTGGTTGATCAAAAAGGTGCCATTTTGGTACAGGGAGAGAAATGAAAAATTTCATCTTCTGATCCTTTGTGAACCTCAAGTGTTCTCTTCCGTTTCCAAGAGGTCAATTCTTTCATCTTAGTCCTGTTGTCAAATGTGTACCAAACAACCCTTAGTTTGGCACACCAGTGAGGTACACTTGAATTTGCATGGTTAAAACAGTTTGGATTTGTTTTTTTTATTTTCTTTCTGCACAGTAGCACCATTGTTGCAGCTGGAAGACAGTGCATCTTAGGAATTTTCAACTGTTTTATAAAACATTTTCCAAGACATTACGTCTTCTTCATGCAAACTTGACACCGACTAATACGCGTCCTCAAGTCTCCAGCTTTCAGTGTCTCTGACTGAGGTTTACTGGTTGACAGACACAAAGGTAAGGTTAGGTTAGCTTTTTTGTTGTTTACAGAACTGTCCCTTTAAAGTTCTACTTAATTCACAGTTTAATATAACATTGAAGTACACAAGTGGGGAATTAGTCTTGTATTTGAGAGTTTTCCTTAAGAGTGATCTTTCTGCGTGTCCTCAACACCAGGTGACACGCCCAGTTGTGGCCAGGGTCCGAGTACACACAAGGTACACTAATAATCAGCGACTTCAGCCTAGCATGTGATGTGGCACAAACACCAAACCGAGTGGAAGGTGAATTCTGAACATTTGAGACAGTATTTCTGGGGTCTTTGTTTGTAGCCCTGTACCACAAAGCTACATTTTTCAATTTGGTGACATGGGGAATATTTATGAAGTTTTTATCAGTCCACCAAGTACTGGCAATGTATTCTATGAAAGGAGATGATTTTTCAAAGAAAAAATGATTTTGCTAACCAGGTTGAAAGGAAAAGAGTTAAGGAGCTGGGAGACTCCAACTGAAATGCTGACTGCAGAGAAGCCACCAAAATGTCATCCTAGTTCTGCAAAGTACTGGAAAAAATGCTTGCCATGCAGGGTACGAAACCTCCTTCACACAAGACATTTAAGAACAGGTTATATGAACACCTGCCTTAAAAGGTTTAAGTAGAGTTGATCTTGCCCTTCATGCCTGTCCCTTGCATGTCTGTGAACTACCTTTTCAAATATTTGACTCTGTTGAAGGGCCGGGCAAGAAAAAAAAACCCAACAAACTTGAACTTTTAGGCTCCAAATACAGTAACTACAGTAGGACTGCTTTCAGAGAATGTGAATAAGAATCGTCACAAAAAGAATCTGACTCCTTGCAAAACAGAATGTGCCCTAGCAAGTTTTTACATAATATTAAAGGCTTACCAAGGAAACACTTGAAAAACTGGTTGCGAGGGGGAAAACAAACTAAATTATTTCCCTATACCCCTGTAAACAAATCTCTTTTGATCTTCGGAATAAATTCAGTTTCTAAAGCTTTCATTCTGGAATAAAGCAATATACAAGAAACAGGTTTTCTTACCTGAACATTTCTGACACCTCTACAGTTGCCAGCCAGAAACTATATGAATTGGCGTAGTAATTACAGGTGCCACGACCGTGGCATTCAATAAACGGAGCTGAGCGGAATTCTTCTAAACAGGATCCCGGTGATGCCAAGGCCTGTCCAGAGCCCTCTGCTCCAGCACTAGTGTGCTGGTGTAGGGGTGGAGGAAAGAAACACACAAACAAGAATCTTACAGTAGGTGCTAAAGATTAAATAGCACAGCATTCAACTACTGAAAGAGCCCCTGTTGACTCTTAGTTGAGATAATGCAACGTCAGACACCTCCAGAAGTATTAGTTACACGGGGCTCTGTGTACTGGAAAATCACTGTTAATGTTGGCTGCTACTGCAGTTAGTAGTTGAGGGTAAAGGCTTTTGAATGACAACCATTATAGTTTGTAACAAAGTCCTGAAGCAGCTAGTTGAGGACACAATTGGCTACTACCCGCTTCTGCCGTAGGAGGCAGTTCTTACCATCATGAAAGAGTAACCGATCCAAAGGGAGTCCCAGCCTTGAGGACACGAAGGAATCTGGATGGTCTGACTGTGCACAGCTATCACCATGGCAGGAGCTTCACACACAACACAGCTGGACACAGGGAAAGGAGCAGAGAAACATGATATTAACAGATAAAGGGAGTATGTTTTATTAAGAATTCTTACACAGAGAAAAGGAGGAAAACTGGCCTGTGAGAGGCTGTCCTATTAATCTAGACTTCTCACATATTTTGTAACTGCAAGAAGACAGTATTTTGGAGTGCAAAATCTGCCTGTATTTCCACTAACCAACATTGGGTAAAATACCGAAGCAGTTCCTGAGAGAGAAACCAGAAGTTCGAAGTCCCCAAGTGAATTTCATAATCTGAGCTACTGACTCTCATATGCTCTTTCCTGGACATGGCGATCTTGCGCTGCTGACTACATGACTTCCTCAGTCATGGAGAGTTCTTGCAGCCTTTCAGCCTCTCGTTATCACTGCTGCATGTGGACAGTGGGTAAGACAATGAATACTTTAAAACAAGCTATTTCCCTACTCTTTCTCAGAGCAAAACATGACAGATTCATCTCCTAATATCCAACCTGCACATTGGAAATACATGTGCTATTTATTGAGATATTAAAAAAAGAGACCTGATGGCCTGCTTTGTCTCACCGGCTAATGAATGGCTGGATGCTTTGCCCAGTCAGCGGCTCCATGCTCATCGGCATCGGCTCTGGAGTTGATAGCCAGTAGGAATAGTCATTCCTTGATGCAAAATTACAAACATTGTTGATGTTGCAGAACATGAAGGGCATGGTGCTGAAACGTCTAAGACAGCTCCCAGCAGTACCTACAGAGTAAGATACATAAAATGTGACAGCAAAGTTTTCACTTCATTGCTTTTTATAGCAATTCTTTGAGAACAGTAACTCTGTATTCCTCCTCTCCACCTGTGAGCGCACAGCATGTGCTATCAAATTGTCACATGTGGGAAAAACTTAACTTCTCGGGTCTGGTTTACATTCTTTCATCCTGAATTAAAATGTACAGCCTCTGGAGGGATCTTGGTATGCAATCCCCATCCTCACCTAAGAAATCTCTAAGACTCTCATATCTTCAAAGAACCAGAGCATTTGAAGAAGCAGCTACAACCTCTTTCCCCTCAAAGAGAAAGCATACAAAATATCTCACCCAAATCCTGGCCATGTGCTCTCTCATTTCCTTGCACGTACAGAAGAGAGAATCCATCATATATTCTTGATGTTCCTTGTGGACATAGTGGTGTGTCCCTGGTCTGGCTGTGCCGAGTTATAAGGAATCCGTGAGCAACAGAAGCTGTTCCAGGAGGACCGGGTGGGCCTTGTAAGCCATCAGGACCAGGAGGTCCCTGTATTCCTCGTGAACCTGTTCATGTGAGAGAAACACACCACACAGTGTTTATTAAGACCATTTCTTGCTCTTTTAGGACTAATGGAGCTCTGAAGGGTGGTGTGGCCTTGTGATTGAGGTGATTGCGAGTTGGGGGACGTGGTATCTGCTAACAATATCTTCCTCAAATTATTTTTTCCTGTAAGCTTGGTTAAATCACCGAGGCTGTCATAGCTGGTTATAATAGTGCAGCTTCCCTGGGGTGTAGGGGTGTCGTGAAGTTAAATATGTTAAGAGCTGTGAGGCACTAAGATAACAACTGCAGTGAACATGACAGCCACTGAAATGAGTCCAAATCAGCTTCCCAATCCCAAAACATATTAATCTGTGTATGCAGCTTAATAAGATAATGTTGAAACATCTTGCTCAAAATCACAAAATAAACGTCAGAGCCAGAAGCAGAAGCAAGTCTCGCTCTAGGGCATACTATGTAACACCTGAGCCAAAGCCCACCAAAATGGGCAGAAAAGCTCCAGTCAGTTTTGGATTAGGTTACAAAAGGTGGAAACAGGCTAGAACAACCTTGAATGAGAGCAAGAGTCATATGATTGAGAAAGGTGTCAGAAAAGGCACTCATTCTTGAACTGCAAAAACATCAGGAAATGTAACTACAAATATTTAGACTATGTTATTCCACAGTCATTATTATTTACATTTTGTCATTAAAGATTTCACAGAGCATAGAGCTTTTCAGATAATAAGGAAAAAAAGGCATTATGGATTTTTGTACTAACTGTTTATTTTCTCAAAAGTTGCAATATATAGCTACTTACTATGTATCATCTTTAGAAAACTGTCCCAGTGCCTAGTTGGACTTCTTTTCTCAAATAATAAATCAGTAATTCTAAGCAATAGCTGCATGGTAGCCTGATCTCGGTCTTGGGTGAAATTCTCTCCTTATGAAGTCTGTTTTTCCCCATTCATGATTTCCATGCAATATTAAAATTATTTGACTAATCTCTTTCTTCTGTTTCTTACTATCTTCACTATCTCCTGTGCATCATCTGTGCTGCAAAGGAGATGCCATTATGCTTGGGATCAAGCACTGTACAATATTATTCAGCAATGACTGGCAACGTGTCGGTTCCAAGAATATTCCAAACCAAAGTACATTCAGCTGCTTGTAATATTTTTGCATTAAGAAAATCCTAAAATTATTATTTTATTGTTACTCCCATGAGGTAAAAATCTCACTTCCCAGTATTAGCCCGCACTCATAAAGGGAGCATCTCTTTTTCCACTGTGTCCTCATAGAATAAACACCATACCTGGTTGGCCTGGAAGACCTCTCTCTCCTTTACGTCCTGCTGGACCATCAAAACCAGGTAGTCCATCTTGTCCTGGGTCACCAGGAAGACCAATTGGACCTAGAACCGACAAATGCATAAGTGAAATAAAAGCTTGTGAAATCTCACTGCAGAAATCTACAAATTGTCTGTGACTCATGTGTTGTTTCTTCATGATACCTGGCAATCCCTGTGGCCCTGGCAATCCAGGTGGCCCTTTCGACCCAGGCTGTCCTGGAGGACCCGGGGGACCAGGGTCACCTTTGACAACAATGCTTCGTCCGATGGTACCTGGCAAACCCGGTGGACCTGAGAGAAAGCAGCTTAGTATTAGATAAACCAAAGTGGGAAAGAACATTAAAAACAGTTCCTGTTTTTCTTTATTGCAAAGTCAGAAGCCAAGAGCTCTACCAATGCAAATAAGTGTATATATAAGGCAAAAAAGGGTGACCTCCCCCTGCAAAGGACAGTTCTTGCAGGGGTTGATCTAGGTAGACTGGGTACAGAATATAAAATATGGTAGATTACTTGTAAAATGATAACATAGAAATAAAATGATAATATATAAATAAAATTAAAATATGGTAGAGTACTTGTAGTGCTAAAAAGCATAGCCTAGAATTGTGTCTAAGCTGTTGCTCACTTAACTGCTTTCATTGCTGGCTGAGACCGACTCAGTCCTACATCTGTGTACCAAAGTCTACTGGGAGGGAGCAGAAGTGACAATGTTACCCAGGACTCCTACCTGGTGGGCCTGGCAGTCCTTGACTGCCTGTGAGGCCAGCGGGTCCTGCAGGTCCAGTGGGACCCTTCATACCTGAAACATCAAATTCGCACAGTTACACAGTGAAAGACCATGCTGTCTTACAAAATCTGCTGTGGGAATGGCCAAAATCAGGCTGCTTTTCTGCCTGAAGGGCTGTTACTGTGTCCGGAGGTTTTAATTTGAAATGCCAGTTAAATACCTGGGAATCCTGGAACGCCTGGAACCCCAGGGTCGCCCTTCATTCCATTCAGACCTGGACGACCAGGATCCCCCTGAACAGAACAGCTTCACGTTATTCACTCATCTCAGCGGTTTCAGAAAAACAGGTAGAAAAGGGGTCTGGGGGACAAATAAACACACTTTGGGTCTGTGAACTAGTGAACTAGTGCTTTGAAGGGCTGAGGCTGTGCATGCTGCTCGCTGCACTGGGTGCTGCAGAGAATGCTGCAACGTGAAGTGTGCATTGACAGCTCCAGTTTGCATGGGAATATAATGGGGACATCCTGCCCAGATACTGGGGGGGATAACTAAGGGAAAGACCCTCCTCCTAAGACAGGATATTAGCTACCATATTTTGGCTTATATTTTTATGATGATAAACTACATATTTCACTTAATATATTCAATTTTTATTGCATTTAAAAATAAACTAGGGGAAGACTCCATTTCTTGTCCTACCTGGCGTCCGGGTTGTCCTTGATCTCCCTTTTGACCAGGCAGGCCAGGGGGGCCAGGTGGACCCGGGTTCCCTTTTTCCCCTTTAAGTCCTCCATTGCCTGGTGGCCCTCGTGGACCTTCTGGGCCTGGTGGACCTTAACATCGCAGAACAAATATGCATATATCAGTACATATCTACCATTCTCCCCAGGTTTGTGCCTTCAGCATTAAAAAAAAAAAAAAAAAAAAAAAAAGATATTTTGGCTTGACTTCCCAGCTCTATTTCAGTGCTGAATTCAGGATAAACTAAAAGGAGAACAACTAGAGGGATTATTTGCACTACCCAAATCAGGAACCAAGGCTCCTTATCTAGCTGATAAAGAGAAGCAGGTCTTTCCAGAAGGCAGTGCAACTCACCTGCATTAGAAGCTTACCAGGGACCAGACCGGTGCCTTTAGTAGGAGCCAAGAAACCCAAAATTAGATGGTACAAATATCTCCTTTGCTGACCTGCCTTACATTCGCCATCTCTTAAGTGCTTAACTTAACAGACTGAATTCCTTTTGAAAGCCAGTCTCGACAATGTAAAATATTGCTGCTTTTTTGCTGTTAGACTTTTACATATCTTTTGAGGAGCCCTGTATATACTGTCCACTGACCGCTGGGCAGCAGGACGCCCATCATTCTGCCTTCCCTAAGTACTAATCTGAGTTGCAGAGACTGTCTTATGTTGAAAGACTCTCCCTCCAACTGATTTGTCTGTCTTTAGTAGAATTACACTGTGTAAACCCAATAGAGGAACTGGGCTGGTCTTTAGGTATTTTCCCTTTGCTCCAGCCACGTTAATCCAAAGCAAAGCAGTGGATTTAGGTACTGGTTCTCCAGATACTTAGGTATCTCGAAAACTGAGAGATGAGACCCCCCACCTTTCTGACACCATCTATATAGAAGGTACCTGATATTTGTCGCAAAACAAACTGTAAGCAACAGCAGCAACAGCTAATAATATTTTACAAATTAGATCTCATAACTGGATTAACAAAAGGATCTCTTTGCAGGACAGTGCTATGACATTCTCCTCTGTAGTACATCAAATCTAATGACATCAGTGTGCTGGATTTTCAATTCTTCTGCAACCTCAAATAATTTAACATCTCCTTTGACATCCTCATAATCTATATTCAGTGGATAAATTTGGTGAGCTGTATTTCTGCATGCAAATCAGAGTACAGAATTCCTTCCAAAATTTTTCTCTTTAAATCAACAGCAGTTTCGTACCAGATTTCACACATACCCTGTGGCAGTTTCAGCTACAGAAAACATCCCATCATGCAGGGATTTTTTTGTGTTCATTTTGCTCTTTTATACTCCTCTAGTACTGTACACATGCAAAATAATAATAGGTTACCATCTGAAGCATGCTAATCAAAGACATATGATCTGCAGGGTAACCATAGTCCTTAAAAAGATAACCACAGAATTACAGGAAAGCATGCGTTTCTCTTACATCAAGTGCAACGCAGTAAAATAAATTGACTGAGTTAAGAGTCTAACCTGGAGGACCTGGAAGGATCAGAGTTCACCAAAGCCCAATGATCGATGTTAGAAGGGTCAGACATCACACAGTACAAAACAAGATTACTAGTTAGAAATAGTACAGATGACAGCATATACACTACACAACAACCCATTTCACCAGCATATTTTGTATTTACAATATAATCCACATGCATGCATAAAACCATACATGAATACACAATGATATGTATTTTCAGATACAAGCTATTCTGGTGACTAGGCTCTACTAAGACTAATTTGACACTTTTATTTAACAGCAAACTTAAAGCTTTACTAAAGAATGTGTTATTGCTTTAACATTACAGCTGAGCCTGTGACTGGTTAGTCCTACTCACAATGGGGTTTGGACTGTGAAACCATTTCACTGACAGTATTTAACACCACCGGGCCTGGAGCTTGGCAAATATGCAAGTAAATTGTAAGTGACAACTTACTCTTGAGCAAAATTCTGCTTTGGGCAGAGGGGAAGTGCGATTAACAGAAGGACTTATCACCACTGATCAGGTATGAGCCTCAACTATCTGTGAACTCTAGGACTGAAAAGTAGGCTTATACCCTCTTCAAAATGATAAGCAGGATTGACATGGATCAAAAGGGCTGCACATGCTATAAGCAAAAATACAGCAGAACGTACACATGTAGAATTGTTGTCTTTAATACTGTCATTATTTTTTCTTGGTAAAAATACCCCAAGATGCTAATTTACCTGTTATGGAGAATGGCACATTGTAACACACCCTTAGAAAAATCATTTAAGTGTCCTCTTTCAAAAGGTAAGCTGGTTGTCCCTCCCATGCTCCTGAATTAATACATATTTTAGCTCCTGTGCCACTTGCATCTTTCATGTCAGTGAGATGACTTAAATATCAATATATCACCATGCAATTTGCAGATAAAAGCTATGATAAGTACACATCAGGTTTACCTCAATGCACTATTTCTTACATATTTGGTAAATTATTTTAAATACTAACTGTAATACAGTTAAAAATAACGACACAAACATTTCATTGTTAAGTACTTATAAACTATATTTCACTGTTAGCTAGGTTTTGCTATGATTTATAAATCATTCCTATACACGTTGATTTTTGAATTCTGGCTGGGCACAGTCACAAGATGGAACAAAACATGAAGCCATTGATTGGTAAGTTCCTCTCAGCATACCCATCATGGCAGCCCTCTCTGGAAGTGTGGTTACTGCCTGTGTGACCACAGCTTAATTAAAACGTAAAGCCACATTCATTTTTTTGCATGACTGCATAAAGCTAGGATTCAGACATCAGGGGCTACAACATTTGCTACCTCACAGTGCTTAGGACAGCACACTAAATCTAAAATGTATTCCTTTATCAAATTTTGATGACAGTTCTTTGCTTCCTGAAGCCATCAGAGCAAAACCTAAAACCATCATTATTATTGAGATATACCGAGTCATTTTCAATCTAGACACAGATGTTAAAAATCTTCCCAAGAGCTGGCTTGTACTACGTGCTGACATGCTAAAATTCCTATAAACTTGTGAAAATGACCATGTTCTTACCAATCCTGTTCCACTGCCCTAGCGTTATGGAGGGGAGGGTTGTATGCTTCATTTTCATAAAAGACACGTTAAAGGAAGAGCTTTCCTCATTTCCTCTAAACATGCTGGTGAAGCAGAACAATGGAAATAAGGATTTCTCTGCACTGGAAATTTACAGTGCTCTGAGTTGGGAATGTAAAGCATCACTGTTACTGTGTATAAATTTTCCTGTGGACACTGTTGGTATAAAAGCAGCATCTAATTTATTTAAGTTACTTGAGAGTGTCCAAAATCAACAGTAGCAGGTGTTACAAAAATGAATACATTTGCTCAAGCTGCAAAACACAATTATACAGCAGAGACATGGGAGGACAGTGCAATATGCTTTTTTAAAAAAAGATGAAAAACAGTATATATTTTTTTTCAACTGCACTGAGAATAAATATGCTAAAATAAGATCCACAGCTGGGGACACTTTATAAAAGCCTTGCAAATCTGGACCCACGTGATCTTCCACCACGGGGAGAGCAAGACTATGGTCTTCCAATGTCAGTCCTACAGCAACATGGAGGAAGAGTCTGAAAGCCAACTCTGAGCTTTTCTCTACCACAAATTGAAAGGTATGTCTGAAAAATGACTCAGCGTATCTACATTTAGACACTACAAAAGTATATACATTCATTTTCATGCAAAGTTATTATTTTGGAGTTAAGGGGCTAACCTGAGGGACCTGGGAGTGGGGGGTCAGAGTTCACCAAGGTCATCATTAGGACAGGGGGAAAAACATCAAAATTGTTAGAAATATCAACAAGCTAACATATTCAACTAAACCTTTCTTTTTAGATTTAGCTCAATATTCCTTTACATACAGTATACAAACCACCAAACTATTATTATTCATAGCAAGGAAAATAGACATGTGGAGCAACAGCAATGTTGAGTTGCCATGGAAATTGGCTTAATTTAATAATTGATTAATAAATCTGTCCCAACACCATCTATCAACATTTGTTTCAGGGGCAGCTCAACTGAAGACAGAGAGCTACACCATGTTTGACTTCACCACTTTTACTAATCTTAGAATACACTCAGAAGTCAACAACAAACACCATATGCATACAACTTCTGGTTTTATTTGCGTCCCTAGAAAGGGGGTAATTTGACAGCCACACAGCTGCTTTTATGACTAACTGCCTTATGTTGAAAAGTTACAAAATTAGTGTTCCAACAATAGACTGTATTATCATTTGAAACAAAAGGCTGGAGTGCTGATTGTACCAGAACTGCAATAATAGTTTGGTTTATCCACATTAGTTCACGCATAACTGAGCAAAACAAATGCTTCACTTTATACATAGCATGCAACAAAAATGGAAATCAGACAAACAGAGAAAGAGGCAGGGAGAGAGAACATGGCTGAGCAGAACCTCACTGGTTGTTTTCCCTCGCCAATGCCCATAAAACACACAAAATGAGTCCCACCTCCCCAGCTGATGAGAGTCAGTAAGCACCTGATTTGTACAGAGAAATGTAAACAGAATGAGAAGCTTCATAAAAACACCTGTGGTACAGCAGAGCAGAGAATCTCAGTTAGTAGGTTTTTTGATACATCAGGAGCTGCTTAGCTGGTTTACTTTTTTTTTTTTTTTTTTTTTTTTTGAGTTCGGAGGTATCCTCTGTATAAGAATTTTTAAAAATGAAAGCCTATACTCTTAGGGACCAGTCAGCTTCCTGTGCCAAAATTTTAATTGCTGTACCACTCTACATACAGAAAAATTATCTTTGGAAGATCCTGACATCTAGAATGTCTTAGGCCTTTATTTGGGCAGACTTAAATTACAAAGCCCAACTCCAGCATCCCACCATCTCTTATCCCTTCACTCCTTCTCCCACTTGCCCCAGCTGCAGCTCTAACCACAGTGAGCAGAGCTCGGATTATTTGTCCCATCCTCCTGCCTGCCACTGAGCAACCAGGCAGAAGAGGACAAGGCCATACAGAAAGTGGAAAGCGAATTCGGACTACCAACTTGCTGCAGGGATGCTCCACTAACTGGTTAGAGCCCCTGAGGCACAGCAGAGAGTAAGCTTTCAGGAGAAAAGGGGAAGGCATGCACTCCTTCCACTATCCAAACAGGCAACCAGGAAGGAATTGTGACTGGCTGTGAATTATTAACCCACTGGGTTGTTCCACACCGGTCATGTAAAAGGCAGGTTTAGGATAAAACACAATTCAAGTATTTTTACTAGGACTAAAAGAAAACCTCGTTATACTAGCAAACAGCACCCCAGTTTTAAGGTGTTATAAATTGAAATATTTTTTATGACAACTCATTTTTTAAATGCACAGTTAGGATAGATGAGTTCATAGACTACTCTGTGCAAAAGAAAAGCTCCTACTGCCATTGAGAATAATCAAATATTACTCAACTCCAGTTCTAGTGAAAATATTTTGATAAAATTCCATTCTAAAAATATTTTTTCAGTGGGATTGCCTCCTCCTGTATCAGAAGCAAGAATGAGGAAAAAGCTGATCTTAAAATCTTTCCAAGTGTGTACTGCAAAAATAAACTCTCTCTTGATACCCAAAAATGAACAATATGCATGTAGCAGCTATTTTACAAATGTACTGATTCAAAACTAACTTTCCCCAAACAAATCTTTGAATAACAGAAAAATCTGAGGTCAGAGTTTGAAGGCAATAAGTAAAAAGATTACTTCTCCATTAATATGCAAAGAAAAAAACCTGTAATCAACCAGTAGCTTGGTTTGAAAGTAGCTTCTTTTAAGGAGAATATCAAGCATGTAAAGTGAGAGGAGCCTTATTGGTGTCAAAGTACTTCTGGACTCAAGATACAGCAATAAGCTTGAGCCAGAGCTGTGACAGGTTCATTAAAGTTACATTTTTCAAGAGCAGTATCTAAATGTAAATAAACATTCTACGATAGAAAATAAAAATCAAATTCTACTACATGCCAGGGAGTTGCTCAGCAATGTTAACTCAGTGGTTTTTTCATTCCCAGAATTAGTTGGTGCAGGAACAAGATGCAAACATGGAATGGAAAGATGAACACGGCATGATGGTGCACTGAGTCCATGGGAGCCATGTGACACAATGGAGCAATGACTTATGTTACATGACACGAAGATGAAGAGGCAGCTATCCAATTTGATCATGCTGTGATACTAGCGTGAATTTGATTTTCATGATTCTTAAAGTGATGGGGTTTGTTACTTTTGGTTTTTTGTGCGCGATGATATTTGCTGATCACGTGAGAATACTGCAAAGGTATCAGATGTTCAAAAGTCGGTATCGTGCTCGTGAGATGATTACTGTGACAGCATGCGGAGAATCTCCCGTTTATTAAACGCATTGGATTTTTGCTGCTAGGTATCAGAAACTAATAGAAACTGAGGCTGTTTTATTTTTAGATACTGTCACTTTTGGCAACAAAATCCTCTGGTTGCCCACAAACATTAAAGCCTACGCCATGAGGCCTGAACTTATCCATCCAAATAAACTGAGAAAGTTTAAAGGCTGATAACCTACCAGCAAAATATGAAAATACTGGCAGATGTTGAGAGGTATGGATCATGCTCTTACCTGGCCTTCCTGGAACACCTGGGGGGCCAGGGCTACCTTTAGGACCTTCCAGAGGTGGCCCTGGTAATCCTGGTGGACCTGGTGGACCCTGTAGACCAGGGAATCCCTGGAAACCTGGTTCTCCCTTCAGACCTGGAAGCCCAGGGGGCCCCGGTGGGCCAGGTAACCCCAGTTCTCCTTTTTGCCCTGTAAAACCAAGCAGTCACATTTATGAATCCTGTCACAAACTGATATGCACAAAAGGTCCAATTGTCAATTTGCAGAGCCCTTTCTCTCTCTTGTAGAAGGTGCAGGTCTGGCTAGAACTCACCTCATTTGCACAAGCGAGACAGTATAAAATTGGTCTAACATTCAGAAAAGAGGGCTAATAATTCTTGCAGGAGAAAGTGTTAGAGCTTCTGACATGTTAGAAGGTCTTACTAAGTCTCACTTTACTACTCAGTGGTGCTGTAATTCATAAACATCCTCTGAGTTTGTAAGCCTACAAGCAATGCTTTCATGTGCTTTTACAGGCCTGTGAAGAAATCTGTCAATATTAAGGCTTCATCATTTTTTTAAGTCACTGCTGAAAGTTAAGACATATTTGCAAAATTTTCAAATAAGCTTGAGGAATTGGAGCTTTAGTGCTACTGGAAAATAATATAACTTAGGTTGTGAAGTTGCTTTTGAAGAAATAGAAAGCAACTATATTTTCAAAACAGCTTCATTTCTCATCTGCCATATGGATGCTTTTTTTACTGAGACAAATCAGCAAAGTTCCACACAACGTAGTAGACTATTACCTTGTGTGGATTTATTCTGTCTCCATAATTGTTAATTTACAAAATTCAGTAGTCAGTAATGAGTGTCTTGGTTACCTTGGTTAATTGAAAACTGCCTGCTGAGCAAAAAAACCCCACCCCATATTATTTTAGTTGTTGCTATGGCATTCATTTATTGCAGAACATACAACATGCCCTTCTTTTGGTGTATAGATATATTTTACATTCAACCTTTTTAACAAAGAACAACAGAGAAACTTTACCTGACAATCCTGGGAGTCCTGGAGGTCCTGGGCGCCCAAAACCTGGTAGACCTGAAAAGAAGTTAATAATGAACATTTAGCTTTCAGGTCTCCAGGGACAGAAATATAAGGCTGAGAATGATGAAATTGCAGTTCATCTAAATCTTTGATTCCTTGAGATTACCAGGATTCTCATTCACTCAGTCTACACCAAAGCTAAATGTTTTGCTACAAAACGTTATCTGTAACTTCAGTATTTCCATCCATTCACAAGATGCTCTTTCAGATTTTGGGAGTTAATACATTTGCATTTTTGGTTGGGATTCTATCTTTAAGGTAAACATTACACTGTTTACCCATTCTGTAACTGAGTTGAAGCAATACAGCTACCATGGAATACAGGAATAGGCTGGTGTTGAAGTTAGGTAATAAAAATATAAGAGTTAATCAAATTCTTGTCCTGTGCTTCACTAGCAGCTTGACAGCACCCTTTGTGAACCATACAGCAGCTCGGAACCACAGAAGCAGCTTAGAAGGTATATGGGCAGTTATAGGAAAAACAGAATAGAGAAAGCAGGACATCACAACACAGAGTAAAGAGTGGAAAACAAACAGGAAGGATACCTAACCTGGCTCGCCCTTCTGACCAGCTGGCCCAGGGATACCATCTCGACCAGGCTGTCCCTTCTCCCCTGCAGGACCAGGAGGACCAGGACGACCAATGTCACCTAAAAGGGGGATAGAACACGTTAGCACAGCAATGCCTAACCTGCAATAAAAAAAACCCAAACTCCTCCACCATCTGAATCTGAAAGTGTGACAAAGTAATAACAAACTCACAAGGGTGTAATCTTAAAAATAAAACCTTTCTTTCTCTCCTCCTTGACAATTTAGAAAAGGCTTTTAGGCCTGTGACCTTTTAAGCAGTTAGTGCTTGCTGAAAATAATATAATGCTTCTCTTTAGGATAAATTAGAATTTTGTTCCTATAAAAAGGGGTTACACCACTGGAGTACTTGACTGTTTCAGTATTTACCAGCTTTATTTATGTTACCTTCTTGTTTTAATAGCTAATGATATGACTATGACAACAGATATAAGTCATCAAGATAAAGTTAAAACTTCTTTATTTTCTGTTTAATTTTAGTGAACTAAGGGTGTGCAATGGTGTCTGAGCATCCACACACATTTAGACGCATTTTCATGAAGTTATCAAGATAAGATGATAGGAAGTGGCTTCATGTTTTTCACAGAAGCAGCTGGTCTTTGCTGCACTGTTCATGCTCACCTACTGGCCCGGGTGGTCCAGGCAGGCCAGGATTACCTGGAGGCCCCTCAATACCTTTTGGTCCTGGAATTCCTGGCGTTCCTGTAAAGTACGGGCATTTCAATCAAATTAAACACAAACCTGGCTTTTCAGCAAATGTTGAAATGCTATAATCTGAGACGGCCTGAGTAACAAATGAGCTAATTGTATCAAGATGCTATATTTATGCTCATTTTGCAGATTTAGAGCTGATCAAGGAGATGAATTATAAAGCAAAGAACGTACAGAGACAAAACATACTAGCACAGCTATGTTTTACTGCTACTTTTAAGACTGTCTTCTTAATTGTTGAGTGCCCATGGCCAAAGACACTGTGAGCCTGGCAGTCTGCTAGGAAATTACCATTTTAGAGACAGGTGTTTCTGCTTGACAACAAGTGAAAGCATTATGAACTGTGGCTGGCTAGTCCTTCCCAATCCTCCTTTCCTGAAAAAGGTTCTTAATAAAAATGGTCTCAGAATTTACACCACATTCTCACCCCTACAGCATGAACTGAGTGGGAGGTAGGAAAAACAACTGATCCATCACAGTATGTCTGTTCTGAACAGCATCTGAGCCTGATCAAGGTAGTGTCTCAATACATCGTTTTGACTGTTCGCAGTCTTTCAGGCATGACATGAAGCAGAGGTTAAAAACTGTCAGGTTCACGGCCAGGTTTTATTCTTTTCTAAGCTACCTGCTGCCATGACTACACTGTTATAAATTCCCTAGCTTCCTACACTAAAGCTCAAGCATGCTTGTAGAACAGCCTCTATTACTGCAAATGCAGCATAGGTAAAAAACTTGTTTCTTTAAATTGAGAATGAAAGAACTGACATATACCCATGAACCATTTCTACTAAGATTTTTTAGAGAAGAGTGCAAAACCTAATTTCATTATGTTTCAGAAAGAGAATTTTCTTTAGACCATATTTTAGACAATAAATGCTATTTTAAAAGCCTGGTTTTCCTGATGACACTTTTTTACTGATTCATGAAGGAAAAGTATGGAACCAAACACAGGTACTTCACGGGTCAGAGAAGGCGAGAGGCTGAGTACTGTGGGGAGTGGAGAGCACTAGCTAACACAACTGCGAGCTCCCCTCAGAGCAGGTGAATGATTTCAGAAGGCACTCTTAAGCGATGCATTCACACACTCACTCTTGCAGTGATAATTCCAACAGCACGAAGCTTAGAAGCAGCAGATTGCTAGAAACTTTGAAAGAAGCTGCAGCCCTCCACCAATTACCCACTGTGTTTAGATGTACATAGCAATATAAGAGAGCAAAAGGGAAAATAAAAAAACCCTGCTCAGAATTACCTGGGAATCCAGGAAGGCCTGGTTCTCCTTTTGCACCTGGACTGCCTGGAAATCCAGGCAAACCAGGATTTCCTGCTATTCCTTTACTGCCTGGAGCACCTGGGTATCCAGGCAAACCAATATCACCCTAGAAAACATTAAGCAGAAATAAGAACAGAGTCTTTGTAAGATGGGTAAGCCCTTCTTGTATGTTCCCAGTCTTACCATCACAAGAAGGTCACAGAAAATAAATTGGAAACAGCAATTGTAAAGATTTTAAGTTTACCCCTATAATTTTGCATAGAGTGTCACAGCTTTTCCTCAGAACGGGTCTACATTAGAGAAAAAAGTGTTCTCTCTTCTTTCAGAAGAAACAGATTTTTACCCAATGATAATACAGAAGAAAAAAAGACATCTGTGGAGCTTTAATCATGCAATGTCTTTGCTAAATTAATTGCTGCAATTGTAAGGTATCAGTGAAGGCTGATAGATATTCTGTAGGTCTTTTTGTAACTGTGTGTGTGACAGAAAGCATGATACAGGTAAACGTTAGTGCAAATGTTTTATACAGACTCAAAAGAAGCAGCAGTAATAATAATATATCAGGTCCTGAGTATTTTATTCTTAAATGCATATTTTTTTTTTAGAATTAACTACATAATTAGACAGGGGAACAATAATATTAATTGCATAAATCCCTGCCAACCACTGAATTGTCAGTGGGTGTCACAGTGCAGACCAGGCCACTAACTGAACCCAACCTAAAAGGTCTGGTAAACAATCTTCTTTTTTAACCAGATAAAAATCATATATAAATATTTTCACCTTTAAAATTAGAAATATTTGCTCCCACCTCAAAAGAATAAACCACAGTCAACCCTGCCTGTTTTTAATACATTTATATACCTATTTACAGTTATACATAACATATATTTAGTTAAAAAAAAATCAACTCAGAATCTAATTTCCTCATGGAATTTTCTATTGAAGAGTTTTTTAAGTATACCTTTGGTCCAGGGAGACCAGGAATACCGATGCTTGGAAGACCTGGGTCACCCTTCTCCCCTTTAAGTCCAGGAAATCCTGCAGGCCCAGGCTGCCCTGGACGTCCTACTATTCCTTGGCTGCCTTTAATCCCTGGGGGACCTGTCCAAAAGACAAAATACAAACTTTATAAATACAAATAAAACTTCCGCAGTTGGTTAGAGAAATCACTCAAACTACAGCAACTGAACTAGAAAGGACTAGCAAACTGACTGGCTGGCTTTGAATACCTAATGTATTTTTACTTTTAAAAAACAAACTAAAACAATTATCTAAAATACCTCACAGTATTTCTGCATGACATTTCTAAGTTTTCTTTTTTTATTCTTAATTTACACAAGTATCTCTTTGTAGTATCTAGGCACAATTTAATATTAGAATCCTCAGAAACTGGAATTTTTGTTTCAGCAATCTTTCTAAATAATGGAATTCACTTTCTCCTTCCCCTTTTGCTTTTGTCTGTCTGTCTTCTGATAGGTGGGTTTACACCTTTTTTTCTGAACTTTCAGAGAGTGGAATCTGAGAAACCAGAACAGCATGAAAGTTATGAAAGGTAGATCATTTTACTTCTATATCTGTTAGCACTTTAAAATAATATGTATTTTCAACATATTTGCTGTTTGTATTTTGTTTTAATGGGTATTTCCAATTTCTTATGTAATATTTCAATAAATACGTATGTAGGGCTTCATGTATTCCTCATCTGCATTTCCATTTATATATATTATTAGATACTGCACACAAGCATGTTCAGCTTTATACTATATAAAAGGAAAACATTGGTCAAAATGAAGCAAAATACAAGCACAGAAACTAACCTGGAAGGCCCATCTCTCCCATGGCACCTTTTAACCCTGGAGGTCCTGTTGGTCCTGGCTGCCCAGGAAGCCCTGTGTCTCCCTTGATGCCTAGGAAAGTTGTGGTTTTAGTTAATTAATGGCAATAATTAAAAGCTTGTCTTCTAATTATAAAGGCAATGGATTTGGAGTTGCTTTAGACCTCATACTGCTCCCACATGCTTTTTTCACACCCATTTCTAGTGAAATATTAAACATCTTCCATTTGTTTTGAGCCAAGATTTGATCTTCTTTGTTCTGAAGATTAGTGTAATGAAATGGATCAAATCTCAGGCCATGACTTAGTAACCATCTGAAACAATTTAGTACTAGCGTGACTTGGTCTCTCATGAGTTGATCTGCAGAACGAACACATTATCTCTTTATCATCTGCAATAGGTACTCAGTAGCTTCTGTTACGGAATTAAACATGGCCTACAATGCTCAGACTAGTTTGGTCAAAAAATTCCAAGCCCAACAAGATACTTAGAGCAAGACCTACATTAGACATAGTGAGAAAAGATTCAATATTTCAGATAAGTTGTTATAGCTGTAGGAAAAAGCAGTGCAAACCAGAATTCATTTCCTTGATCCTTGCAATCCTTAAAAGCAAAGATGTGAATGGCCTACGATGCTCAGACTAGTTTGGTCAAAAAAATTCCCAAGCCCAACATGATACTTAGAGCAAGACCTACATTAGACATAGTGAGAAAAGATTCAATATTTCAGATAAGTTGTTATAGCTGTAGGAAGAAGCAGTGCAAACCAGAATTCATTTCCTTGATCCTTGCAATCCTTAAAAGCAAAGATGTGACATCCAGACAGCCTTTGCAATACAGTCATTGGGCCTTTTGCAAAGTACGACTATAATGACTAACATTATAAAAAACAGACATATGAAAGAGGCAAGTCCTGTTTACAGATCCTGCAGTCATCTTGGTTGCCTAAGCAGCAAGCACTTTTGCAGTCACCCTACCCTAAAAGCTATCCTAATCTTCTGTGGGACCACCTAAAAACTGCTTTTGGGTCTGTCAGAAGGAAAGAGCTCAAAGCATGCTGTTTGGACAATGATTTTAAATATCCCAAAACTATCCTGCAGCTTTGCTTAGATATACCTGGATTAACATCCCAATCCCATGTGATAAAAACTCATGCAAATTTTTTACACATCAAAACTGTCCATCTGAGGCTTTGTTGACCTACCTGGCAATCCTGGCACACCTGGTGGGCCAGTAAGTCCTGGTGGGCCTGGGTCACCTGGGAGACCTTGATAACCTTTCTGTCCTGATAAACCAGGAATACCTCAAAGGAAATAAGACACATTTTAGTATTACTACTGCTACTGTATGTTTTCTTTTACCTTAAGAGGTCAGATGTAGCTATAGGTGAATAAAAATCCAAATAGGGATTTTTCTTCAGGAAACATAATTCCCCCTACTTTAGCAAAAAGAAGTATCACAGAACACAAAATATTGCTTCTGAAAAGTTTAAAATTACTCCAGAACAGGAACAATATAAGTAGAGGAAAAAGTAACTTTATGACTAACGCCAACATACTTCATTCAGAAGGGACTGTCTTTTCAGATGAGAACCTCTCTATATCCATCCAGTTTATTTATATACATGTTTAATTACATTGATACACCAGAAGCACTTTGGGACTGATATATTATAAAAAGTAATGCAGGTATTTTAGCAGATTTTTACAAATTCTACGTGGTTATCACCACATACAATAAGTTTGTGCTGCCCTGCAGGCATAGTTAAATCTGCCCTCTACAGCTCTTACTTAACAGAGGGGAAAAAAAGGTAGGTATCTTAGGATCCTACCTAGGCTTCACAGAAATTAATACAATAGATAAATTAGCACAATAACAGCTGGGCCAACATTAGAGAAAGGCCTTCTGGTTCTCTCTAGGGTAGAATATTTTTACTCTAATTTAGTCTTGAGAAGAGTCCAAAGGAGACATCAGAACCCTTGCAGGGGAGGAGAGAGAAGCAAGCGGGAGACAAAATAGACTTGAGTTAACCGAGAAAACCTTCCAGGCTGCCAGCTTTCCAAGTAGAAACACACAGAGAGATGACATTTATCTCAGGGGAGGGTAACCTTGCAGAGATACCCAAAGGGAGAATCCCAAGGTGATGCATGAGCAGATGACCTATGCAATTCCATCCTACAAGGAAAAGGCCCAACAGCCT